CCAGGGGAGTCTCACTTGTAGATGGTGACATGAGGGGACAGGGGCCGGTTGGACCTGGTGTTCTTCTCCCAGAAGCGACTCATCTCCTCCCTGGCCGTGGTTCCCATCGGGACAACACTGGGAAAACAGGGATACAGGGCATGGGGAGCTCTGAGATCCCACCTCACACACCCTGAGAAGGTGCTCCCTGCTCCAAGGAAAGCCTTGGAATCGACTCTTCCCGCCTTTACCCGGGAATTACCAACCCTGGGAGCCCCAGAGGAGCGAAAAAAACAAGGAATTCTCCCCAATCCCAGCAGTGGGAAGAGGAAAATAAATGGGATTGGGGCTCCCAGATCTCCCGGGAGGGGGTCCTGGAGACGCAAGAATTGCGGCAAAAAATATCCTTTGGATGGATTCCTTCGGGGAAGAACTTAAACCCAGTTGCTCCCAGGCTCTCCCAGTTGCTCCCAGTTGCTCCCAGTAACTCACTGCTGCAGGGACAGGCCGGGTCCCAGCCGGGCCAGGAGGCAGCGCCGCCCCACCCCCCTGGAAAAGAGGAAGGAAAAGGGTTGGGAATGACCCAAAAAAGAGGGATGGGGGGGTGACACGGGGGGGTGACACAGCCGGGGATTGATTGGGGTGACACGGGAGGGTGGCAGGGGGGACACGGGAGGGGTTTGGGGGTGACACGGGGGGAGTGCCGGCGGTGACACCTCCCCGACCGATACGTCCCCCTGTCACACGCCGTGACCCTCCGTGTCCCACAAACCCCTCCAATGTCCCCCCAAACCCCCCCAGTGTCCCCCAAACCCCTCCGGTGTCACCTCAGCGCCAGCGCCGCCATCTTGGAGCCGCCGCGCCGGAAGCGGCCGTGACGCGACTTCCGGTCCACGGCGCGTGCGCGGGGGAGACCGGAGAAAATCGGGATAAAAACGGGATAAAAATGGGATAAAATGGACTAAAAATGGGATTAAAGTGGGGTAAAAACGGGATAAAAATGGGGTAAACATGGGATAAATCGGGTTAAAACCGGGGTACATCTGGATAAAACCAGGGTAAATCGGGGTAAAAATGGGGTAGAAATGGGATTAAAATGGGCTAAAAATGGGATTAAAGTGGGGTAAAAACGGGGTAAATTGGGGTAAAAACGGGATAACAGCGGAATAAAAGCGGAATAAAACCTGGAGAAATCGGAACTAAATCTGGGATAACGGTGAGATAAACCTGAGATAACACCAGGATAACATCCAGGATAAAACCTGGGATCCACCTGGGATAAAGCCCCGGGAGTTTCTGGAATAAAACTGGGATAAATTCGGGAGAAACGCCCTCCAACACCCCCCCCTCCGAAAATCCCCGAAGCACCTCAAAACCACTCCACCCTCCCCAAAACCGCCCCAAACCCCACCCAAAGTCCCCCCAAAGCCCCCAAACTCCCTAAAAAAAACCCTTAAACCCCAAAAATCTCCTCAAAACCACCTAACACCTCCCCAACCCCCAAATCAAAAAAAAAAATAAACCAAATCCCTCCTAAATCCCCCTAAAACCACCGCAACCCCCCAAAAAATACCAAAGCGCCCCCAAAACTGCCCCAACGGCCGCAAAATTCCCCAAAGGCCCCCCCAAAAAACCCCAAAATCCTCCGAATAGCCCCCAAAACTCCCAAATCCCCCCCAAAACAACCCCAAGCCCCCAAATGCCCCCTAAAATTCCGAAATATCCACCAATGTCCCTCCCGAATCCCTGGTTTCCCGTCACCCCACAAATCCCAGATTTTTCCCCCTAAATCTCGAGTTTCCCCCCCAAATCCCGATTTCCCCCCCAAATCCCTCTTTTCTCCTCAAACCCCGTTTTCCCCCTCAAATCCCAAATTTCCCCCCAAATCCCTTTTTTCCCCCCAAACCCCGTTTTCCCCCCAAATCCCTCTTTTCCCCTCAAATCCCTCTTTTCCCCTCAATCCCTCTTTTTCCCCCAAATCCATCTTTTCTCCTCAAACCCCGTTTTCCCTCCAAATCCCTCTTTTCCCCCAAATCCAAAATTTTCCCCAAAATCCCTCTTTTCCCCTCAAACCCCGTTTTCTCCCCAAATCCTTCTTTTCCTCCCAAATCCTTTTTTTCCTCCCAAATCCCTCTTTCCCCCCAAATCCTTCTTTTCCCCCCAAATCCCTCTTTTCTCCCCAAATCCCGGTTTCCCCCCAAATCCCAAATTTCCCCCCAAACCCCTCTTTTCCCCCCAAACCCCGTTTTCCCCCCAAATCCTTCTTTTCCTCCCAAACCCTGTTTTCCCCCCAAGCCCCAAATTTCCCCCCAAATCCAGGGGGTTCCCCCCACACTGGACGCCCGCGGGGACACCACTGGGGACACCCGGGACGGGAGGGGACACACGAACCCCCCCCCGCGCCGGCGCCACCGGCCGCCCCCCAGGGACAAAGGGGGGGCCCCGGGTGTGGGACACGTCCCCCCCTCGTGTCCCGGTGTCACATTCCTGCCCCGCCGCCCCCGCCCCGCCGGGAATGCGGCGGGACAAAGGCCACAGTGTCGCCTTCCCCCTCCCGGCCCTAAATGTCCCCTTTGAGCGCCCCCCCGGGTCCCCCCCCGCCGCCGGCGCCCATTGGCCGGGCTTTGGGGGTGCAGCCGCCGCGGGGCCACCCTAAAACCCCGCGCCCGTGCCCGTGTCCCCTCCGTGACCGGCCACCATGTCCCCGCGGGCCACCCGCCGCCTCCTGCTGCTCGCCGGGCTCGTCGCGGCGCTGGGTGAGGCGGGCACGGCGACAGGGACAGGGGACAAGGGACAGGGGACGCGGGACAGGGGACGCGGAACAGGGTCCCCAGAGCGGGCTGGGGTGGGGCCGGACCCTTTTTGGGGGTGGTCGTGGGGCTGGGGGCCACCCCGGCGGGGGTTGGGGACTGTCCCCCCAGCCGGGCACGGGGGTGCGGGCGTGTGGTGCTGTCACCGCTCGGTGTGGCACTGTCACCTCCCTGGGGACAGGTGGGAGGTGCCACACCCAGCCCTGCCGCTGTCACCTGTGGGCACAGCGGGTCCCAGCGACTGTCACCTCCCTGGGGACACGGGGGGGAGGTGTCACCGGGCTGGGGCACCTGGTACCATCCTGAGGACACCGAGGGGGTGGTGACACTGTCACCGCGCTGCCGGGAGTGTCCCAGTGCCTGTCACCACCCTGGGGACAGATGGGAGGTGCCACACCCAGCCCTGCCGCTGTCACCGGCGGGCACAGCGGGTCCCAGCAACTGTCACCTCCCTGGGGACACGGAGAGGGTGGTGATGGTGTACCTGGCACCACTCTGGGGACACCGAGAGGGGGTGACACTGTCACCGCTCTGCCAAGAGGGTCCCGGCGCCTGTCACCTCCCTGGGGACACGAGGGAGGTGTCACCGGGCTGGGGCATCTGGCACCACCCTGAGGACACCGAGAGGGTGGTGGCACCGTCGCCGCGCTGCCAGGAGCTCCCGTGCCAGCCCTGCCCGTGTCACCGGGACACTGTCCCCTCCGAGCCAGCCGTGGGGACGCCGCCGCTGTGTCCCCCCTGCCCGCGCTTTGGTGGCAGCGCGGTGACACCTCCCGTGGCGCAAGGAGAGGGGTGTGACGGGCGTGTGCCCCCTCCCCAGGAGTGTCGCCGGTGTCGCCGATCCACGTGTACACGCCGCGGGAGGTGTTCGGCACCGTGGGCTCGCGGGTCACCCTGTCCTGCAGCTTCTGGTCCAGCGAGTGGATCTCCGAGGACATTTCCATCACCTGGCACTTCCAGGCCGAGGGCTCCCGCGACAGCATCTCTGTGAGTGTCCCCAGCTGTCCCCAGCTGTCCCCAGCTGACCCCATCGCGTCCCCAGCGTGTTCCCGACGTGTCCCCAGTGAGCGCCGTGTCCCAGCTCCAGCCCCAGAGGACGGTCCCTTCCCTGCGGGTGACACCGTGTCCCCCACGCCGTGGTGACACTGGGGTGTCCCCAACGTGTCCCCAGCCCCAGCAGGACGGTCCCTTCCCTGCGGGTGACACCGTGTCCCGCACACCATGGTGACACTGAGGTGTCCCCAACGTGTCCCCAGCCCCAGTACCCATCATTTCTCAGCCCCAGCCCCATCAGGACAGTCCTTTCCCTGCGGGTGACACCGTGTCCCCCACGCCGTGGTGACACTGGGGTGTTCCCGCAGTGTCCCCAGCCCCAGTGCCCGCCATGTCCCAGCTCCAGCCCCAGAGGACAGTCCCTTCCCTCAGGTGACACTGTGTCCCCTCACACTCTGGTGACACAGGGGTGTCCCCATGGTGTTCCCTTGTCCCAGTGCCCACCAGATCTCAGTGCCAGCTGTGGTGACACTGGAGTGTCCCCATGGTGTCCCCATGGTGTCCCCACAGTGTCCTCAGCCCCAGTACTCATCATGTCCCAGCCCCAACCCGATCAGGACAGTCCCTTCCCTGTGGGTGACACCGTGTCCCTTTGTGCTGTGGTGACACTGGGGTGTCCCC